ATTTACCACGAATAAGAAGCCAATAATATTCAGAATTCATATAATGAAATTCCGCTTGGTACCTTCCTTTTATCTGTCTGTATATCAAAGTCCGCGACTGTATTTATAAAATCATACATAAGCAAACGTCAAATATTTAAAAATATGAACGTCAAACATATCTCGTTGTGGTAATGGAGACGGTTGGGATTTAGCAACAGGATTTATTAAATCTTAATGGATAAATCTCTCAATGGAGACATAGTATAATATTTTCTTTTAAGAAATTATGGAAGCATTGAGGGAAATAATCAATGGACAGAAAATGCTAAACGGTCGCATTGTCAAACTGGAAGCAAATGTAAGTAATGTTTTTTGTGATCTGTTTTTGTATTAAGTCTATATTTTTCTTACATTTAAGCAAACGGCCTTACTTCGGAATCAGAGCGTTTTCAGCCAGGGGCAAGCAAATAGCAAAATCGGCTGCAAAGCATGGCGCAAAGTGTTAGCATCTAGATATTTACTTTAATATATTTTTATTTGGTAAAAAATACATGTAGAAATGTATAATTTACACATGTATGTAATATAGTACTAAAGTAAATGAATTTTAATTAAATTTATTTCAATAGGGTTAAAATGTGATTTTTGTACTTGAATCAACAGTGGTAGGTATGAACATCAAGTGTGATTCCTCAATTTTGATAGGTTTATGCATCAATTATGATGGCTCAACTGTGACAAGTTCCAACATCAGGTTTGACTAGTCAACTGTGGTCGGTATTAACATCATTGTTGACAAGTAATTTGTGGTAGAGTGACGAGTTCAGCTATACTTTTAGTCGATAAAATTCATAAGTTGGAGGGAGATGCAAAATCACACGTACAGACAAGTTTCCAGAAAGTTTTGCATATTGGCCTTAAGATCTTGATAGAAACTTTCTTCCACGTATTGACAGATATTTCTATCTCCAATGACTATCACATGATTAATCAAATGACTATCACTGTTCTTGTAGGGACGCTTCGTTCAATTACATCGCGTATGTACGTATTTCCCGGTCCACCTAATATAGACCGGGCAGAGGATTTGGTTTTATTTGACTTGAAAAAAGTTTCTTTTAATTTTAAAAGGGGCTCATTTGACTTGAAAAAGGTTTCATTTGAATTGTAATGGTTTCCTTTGATTTAAAAATGGTTTCAGTTGATTTGAAAACGGGTTCCTTTGGCTTGAAAAAGGTTTCATTTGACCGGAAAATGCTATATATATATATGTTTTATTTTGTGTGTGAAGTGTTTTATTTTGCACCAGCGCGATCTTCTAGAACACTCATCCTATTTCGAATCTTAGTTTTCATTCAATTCATTACGGAAAAACGCGCTCAACAATGCATGTGAGTGCGGCAAGGATAATAATATGAATTAACTTATATTTCAAAACACTTTATTGCCCGTGGCGGTTTTCACTCCGTCAGCAAGTCTCCAAAATTTTTCAGTGTCGGATGGAATGGTTCTGAGAAAAGTTATTCCATGGCTAAAACATGGTTAAAGTCAAATAGTGAATTGGCAGGTCCCTGAACCTCGCCCTCTTGTGATTCACACACTTTTCTGGTGACAAAATCAAAGCTTTTTTAAAAGTATTTAATTGACTAGGTAATCGCTGCAAAAGATCTTCGATTAGGGTGATTAAACATTTTTGACAGTCTTTTAATATGCTTCTTAAGTCAAGTTTATCACGCAGTTCATTAGCCTGTCCTGTAAAATTATCGTGGAAAACTAAGTGTTGTATATTTTTTTAAATGGAAAAAATTTATTTTAAGGGAAAAAAGCATAAAACCCCGCCAATGGGGATTTCCTAAATTTTTACGCGCAAATATAAAATAAAATCGCCAAATTGGCGCGAAATCGGCCAATCTGGACACTCTGCTTCATACCATAATTGTGGACGCTCACTTCACACGTATTCTTACGCTCTATCATTTAAGCTTAAATTAGTGGTGACATAACCATAACCATAAAAAACAGCTGTTCCATCCAACCTTATGGCCAACACTGTATTCGATTAGTGTTGGCACACTATAACCCCATAGCCATAACGATAGCCATAACCATAGCCATAGAGACCAATTGCATTTTGGTTTTCCGCCATAACCATATCAGCTGATATCTTAAGTGCGTGTTGCCAGACGTTCAAAAAAAAATATTGTTCACAGACAAAGTTTTGGCATAAGTGTAGAATATGAACCATTCAGCTATGCAAAAACCAAAAGTGTAGCTCGATACAACCTCTCACGCTGATTTCAACTGTACCAAAATTATTTGGCGCAAAAATATAAAAAGATATACAAGGTTAAATTAAATTTTTTTAATTTTTTGATATTTATATCTTATGAACTACTTAACGATTCAAAATCTAACGATGCCAAAATAAAGGCAATTAATTTATCTTTCTGTTGATGCCTATAATTTATATGCTTTATTTTATTTTTAATCCAAAAATACTAAAAAATTAAAAGAAATTACGTATTTTTTTCATAAAATAATCTTTTTTAACAAAATCTCATGATTAATGCAAAAGAAATTTATATTATTAAGAAGGCACAAGTTATTACCTTTTATTTGATTTACATATTTTATTGTAATCTGCTGTTGAGGTTTGAGAATTTAGTGTTAATTTAGTTATAGTGAAAGAAGTTCTGCGCAAGTATCCTACGATATTACACATTTGCCGCATGTTGTTCCGCGTCTGGCAACACGCACATACCTATAATCGATGATAGTTAATGTTGTTACGGTTATGGCAATGGTTATGGTTATGGCATTATGGTATGTCACAACTAATTTAAGCTTTAGTCGTTAGCATGATTCACTAATACAAGGTTGGATAAATATTGACATTTGTGTTAATCGACTGCCTTGTAAGGTTGCATTTGAGAAGGAAAGAGATGCGGGTAACAATTGTATCCCCTTTTGTGAAAAGGTAGTAAGAAAAGTAGTCTGGTAGTGCTGAAATGCGTTTTTATATAAGAATTTAATTAAATATATAAGGAAGATTCCACTGATCTACACAATATACACTGAATTAACTTTTTATGGCCATATAGATATTAAAAATAAAATAAATGAATATTCACATAAAATTCTCACCTAAGAAAATTTTTATCGACAAATATTCCCAAATATTCAAAATAAACCATGGTTTCATTGAAATTCCAGTATATATTAAACAAAAAAACAAAATTAATGGAATTCAAACAAATCGTTTATTCAAAGGGACTTATGAAGAAATATACAAATTACAAACAAAAAGAAAAACATTATAGGGTTGGTCGAATGAATGGCCATCCTAGTCACCAGTTCCGAGTCTATTCGATTTTTGAGTATGAGGCCTTATGTTGGACAGAAGGGATAGTATAAGGGACTCACAGTGGAGAAAATTACCGTATGGTTACAGAAGATATGGAATAAATTAACTGACGAAGACCTGCCTGCCAAATGAACTTTTCTTTCAAAGTTTACACTGTTGGAAAATGTAAATCGGGATTAAAATTTAAAAACTAATTAATACAACTAAAGTAAAATCTGCGAAAAATTAACAATAAAATACTTTTTTCGCAAAATCTATATAGGACCCTTTTATTTCTCAAAAAACCCTTAAAAATTATTATATTTCTTGCATTTAAGGATTACATAATCAATATCTTAAATTGAATTACGTTTGGTTTTTTAAAAAATTAAAATTTTTTAGTAAGGTTTTTTCCTATTTTCTCCAATAAGTCTTGTTAATCATTATATTTGTTACATTTAAAAATTGTCATTAACAGCTTAACTTGAATTACATTTAGTTTTTTAAAAATGTAAATTTTTGGTAATGTTTTCAACTATTTTCTCCAATCAGTCTTGTTACTCATTATATTGGTGGCATTTAAAAGTTAGATCTTGAGTATCCTAATTTAGTTACATTTGGTTATTTAAAAATCTAATTTTTTTGAATGTTTTTTACTTTTTTCTCCAATCAGTCTTGTAAATCATTATATTGGTTAAACTTTAAAAATAAGTCTTCAATATCGCAATTTAATTACATTTGATTTTTTTAAAATGTAAATTGGTAATGTTTTCTACTATTTTCTGCAATCAATCTTGTGAATGATTATATTTGTTACATCTAAAAATTATATCATTAACAGCTTAATTAATTAGTAAAAATAAAGGACAATTGATCTAAACGTGTAATTGCCTCGTTACCTCAGAAACCTAGTAAACTTGCTTAATTTTATTTACGAGATTACGAGGTATTTCTAATTAACTACTACGGAGTTTACAACTATAACAGCAAAACGAGACTTAGCACTTCATAGAACCTTATTAATTCAGTGATAGTTGAAATCAGCATGAAGAGGTCTATCGAAGCACTTCTTCAAAAGAGTAAATCCCTGCACCAGCGAATGTGGACGGACACACAAATGTCCTGACCTGCACAAGAAAACATCTTTATTAATATGTCTTTCCCCTTTCGCTTTTATGGAGTGGTATACTTACTTGTAAATATGCAAAGGCTGCACCTAACCAACCCAAAAGGCTGCAGTGGTAAAAATACATGCACCAGCAAACGTGTACGGACACCCAAATGATCCTGACCTGCACAAGAAAATATGTTTATTAATATTTGTACTTTCACATTTATTTGTAAGTATGCAACGGCTGCACTTGACCAAAGTAGTTCCGAGTGGACTGCATTACCCATACGTGGACGGACCCACAGGGATTCTAGCACGCAAAACTTACTTGCAACGGCTGCACTTGTAAAACGCTACTTTTTGAATACTAATTATGAATAACTCCGATACCCTGCAAATAAATATGTAAATTATTGTTTTAATTCAAAATATTTGCATTATTTTTGATTTTTTTGGCATATTTACTTGAATTTGAGCAATAAGAAAATGAATTTCCACGAAACAATCGATGAAAATATGGGCAGTGTTGCCTGTTAAACTTTTTATACGAAGACAATATTTCTCCTTGTATTTTAGTAGTAGTTTCTATAAATCAAAAAAGAAAGCAACACAGGCTTAGGCAGAATGAGGGAGCGAGACAACTGCCAGGATATCGAACCTTCTATTATTGAATCATGGTAGACCAAACAGCGTGCGTTCATATATGTAGCTATAAGCAGGGACAAAACGATACTAGTAAATACAAGTACATACTCGATACTTTTCGCCCGAGTAATTTTGGTATCGATACTTGCGAACCGAGTACTGAGTAGGTATCGGAAGAAAGTACTTACATCGAGACGCGATACAGTGACAATTTTATTCGCGTATTTTTATTTTTTAATCAAATTTTTATTGTTTATTGTTAATAGTTAAAAAATTTTGGCAGCTTAGTTGACAATGAAAAGAAAGTCCTGCAAAGAAAAACCTATTGTCATCTCTATAACATATCACTAGCTTAAAGTGAAAAGTTACTAAGTCCACTTTTTGTGAAAACTTATATTTGGATATAGGAAGCAAGGCGAATTAAAAACGCAACGTCTCCAAAAGGATTAACTAACGTGCTTGTTTTATTTCTACCCGTTTGTATCCAATTAAAGTCAAATTCACTAAGTCCAAGAGAGGCACAGAAAAATCGGCGAACTCTCAAAAAATTCTAAATCTTTTAATTTGCAACGGAATCTTCTGCAATATTCTTGAAGGAAATGTTTTGAAAAGTTTTTTCCTCCACTATAAATTTTCTACAAATGGACTTAGCAATTTTTCACTGTAAGCTAGCGATATGAATGCCTACAATACGATATAAATTTGCCCTCCAAAAATTGTCAAAATGATTACTTCTTTCAGAAATATACCATAGTTAAGTACTTTGCAAAACTGNACTATAAATTTTCTACAAATGGACTTAGCAATTTTTCACTGTAAGCTAGCGATATGAATGCCTACAATACGATATAAATTTGCCCTCCAAAAATTGTCAAAATGATTACTTCTTTCAGAAATATACCATAGTTAAGTACTTTGCAAAACTGATGTTGAACAGTGTTGTAATAGAGATAACTTTTAGTAATTAATTAATCCCAACGGCTTTTTACCCACCATTCCCGCCCAACCGACACGAGGGGCGCAGTCCGCATGACGTACGGAACCTTTTTTTTTTTTTNCAACTAACCACGTTGTTCAGATCCGCTTGTAACAAAGACCTTTCTTCGATAGAGGACAATGTTTTAAAAAGTTTCACATCATCGGCATACATTAAAATTTTTGAATGTTTTATTATAGAAGAAATATCATTAATGAATATCAGGAACAGAATCGGACCAAGGTGGCTTCCCTGAGGAACTCCTGAAGAAACTTTAATGATGTTGGAAGAACAATTATTAACAATAACTCTTTGTGTTCTATCAGAGAGGTAATATGAGATCCATTGAAGAAGACTGGGCTGAAAGCCGATTAGTAGTAATAAATAACTAATTTGTATGAATTAAATTATAAAATAATTATTTTTGATCTCAATCGCTTTCTCTTTGTACAAAATAAATATTTATGTATAACAAATAAAATACGTATTTAAAAAAGATGAAAATTATGTTAACAAAAATCTGTGAACTTTTTTAAAAATAACTTATAGGACTTTGCACTTGTATTTTGGGAGGCCATCCTAAAAAAACATGTTTTAAAACTTAAAGTTTTTCTTAAAAATTCGCCTAAAGTCAAAAATAATTGTCACATCAGTTATTTTGACATAAATTCATAGATATGTGATAGTATTTTTTATACAACCAATTCTTATAGTTACAAATATCGATATAAGTAGGTATCGATACTTTTAGCCCGATACTTAGTAGGTATCGATACTTTCTTTCGATGCTAGTTCCAAGTACAGGTATCGATACTTCCATGGTATCGTTTTATCCCTAGCTATAAGTGGCATCGATGCCTTCGCGAACGTTCACTGCTGTCGTTCTCGTTCACAAGTGAAATATTCTATGTGAAGGCAATTTTGTTAATTGAATAAGATTTCCACCTTCATTCGATTTTCAAAAATGAGGTGCAAATGAAAGCGCTTGGCCTCTAGATATTTTTTGAATAGGATTGCCAACTTGAAAAAAATTATAAAATCTGCACGGTTCGTTGGATTAAAAAAATAGGGTGTTGTAGCACATATTAACTGTAGCACACCTACTGTAACATATGTATCTCAATTGTAACACACTTGTAACTGTAGTAGCTTTAGGTAAAGAACTTATAAATGTAACATACAAAGAATTTTTCATTCATAAATATACTGACAAAGAATAAAGAAGAAAAAGAGCTTTCCTGCAAAATTAAAATTATTTTAATTGAAGAAAGAATACTACAATAATCAGAAGCGGTATGGACACACCTTTCAACGAAGTTTTGGATGTTTTAAAAACATATACCGTTGCGCAGCTGAAAACATGGCTGCGAAAGCTTGGGGAGGAGAACAGCGGCACCAAAAACGAACTGGTGCTCCGTTTGGTCAGTTTGCATAATCGAGGTGATTTTCTGCTACCTGAACGCAACTGCGAAACCAGTAGTGTAAATAATCGAGCATGTGCTTCAATTGGCGAAATTTTTGAAGCAGGCGGTATCGGTGGTAATACCTGCTGCTGGTAAAAGCTGCTTTAGTTGATAACGACATACGGGGCGTCGACGTGTATGGTGGCGACGAGGCGAGCGTCGGCAGACATGGGCAGTTGATGAATTGTAATGGTGAAAGTAGTCAAAACGAGTACAGCGGGGCAAATACAAGGCAGAACGGAAACGGAAAGCGAATGGATATTCAAGCAAATGAGTGGGAACTATTGAAAAAGGAATTAGAAATAATGAAACGAGAAAATGAAATGCAAAAAAGAGAGAACGAGTTACTTAAAAGAGAAAATGAGATGCTGACAACAATTAATAAACTACAAAACTCTAATGACTATGAAATATGCACTAGTTCAGGCACTGGTTTTACTAGTATGAAGAATTTTATGCTGGCAAAAGAAATAATACCAGACTTTACTGGCAACGGTGGCTATTTTCAGCAGTGGGAAGCTCAGCTGAAAAGTGTACAAACCGCATACGATTTATATGAAAACAATACGAAGGCTCTCATTTCAATTAAATTAAAAGGTCGAGCTTTAAAGTGGTTTTATTCGCGATCTGATATAATGTCAATGAGTGTTGCAAATTTACTGGGGGAAATGCGGATGTTATTTAAACATCGCTCAAGCCGACTAGCTTTAATGAAGGAATTCGAAGGAAGAAAGTGGCATTCTAATGAATCGTTCCAGGAATATTTCAATGAAAAGTTAATATTATCAAATAAAATTTTGATGAATGAGGCCGACTTATTAGAACACATTATTGAAGTAATTCCTGATTATTTTTTACGTTCGCAAGCGAAAATACAGCGGTTCAGTAATAAACAAAGCTTGCTCGAAGCTTTTCAAGGAGTTAAGTTCATGAAGGTCGGTAGTAGTGCAACGATAAAGCGGTTCAGCAATCAAAATCGAAGACGTGTTTCAATTGCAATTCGCTAGGTCATGTAGCAACTGAATGTCGCAAACCGAAACGTGAAAAAGGAGCATGCCACGTATGTGCACAATTAGGACACTATGCTGCTGAATGCCCAAAAAGGAAGGTTCATCACGTTGGGGAGCAAGATGATGACAATTGTGAGGATTATGTAAGGTACATTGAATATTGTTTTATAAAAGGTAGTTATAAGTTTCATTCAACATTAGGTACTCTAATTGACACTGGCAGTGCAATAAGTTTAATTCGCCAACAGCTCGTGCCCAATGTTCTTATAAGAAACTATAAATCTGAATTTAAGTTTTTCGGTATTAATAAATGCCAACTTAAAATGATTGGCCAATTAAAATGTATAATTTTATACAACAATAGTAAAGTAGAGTTGAGTTTGTATGTTGTTCCAGATGAAACTATGTCATATTCTGTAATTTTAGGTAGGGATTACTTGAACTTAGCTAAATATAAACTTAAAAATGAAATGAGTAGGATCATGGATGATGATAGTACTAGCTTTGAGAAAGAATTTTGCAGTTTAATGAAAATTGGTTTAGATAAGAAGGAGTCATTTATTGATAATAATGAAATAAGTTGTGGAACTAAAAGAAGAAAGTTTGGGGCAGTTCGAATTTTGTAGAATGCCATTTGCAGGGATTAAAGTTTCGTATTGTGACTGATTGTAATTCTTTGACGCTTACATTAAACAAACGAGAAGTAAATCCTAGGATCGCCAGATGGGCTCTGGAACTAGAAAATTTTGATTACAATTTAGAGCATCGAAATGGTTCAAAGATGCAACATGTGGATCATTAAGTAGAATTTCAAATGTGCTAGTTTTGAACAGAACTTATCGAATTTCCAGAACAGAGATCAAGTTATAACACGGATTCGGGAAGAGTTGGAGAAAAAGGATAGTAAAGTATTCTAAATGAGGAACGGACTTGTGTATCGAAAGGTTGGAAAGGAAATTTTATTTTATGTTCCAAAGGAGATGGAAGAAAATATATTACGCATATATCACGATGAAATGGGTCATTTAGGATGTGATAAAGTGTTGCATTCAATATCAAAAACTTATTGGATCCCTGATGCTAAGAA